CCAGACCGACACTGTTCAAACACTGCTTGCATTTTGCTAAAACGAAATATACCTAATAGATAATTTTTATTATAATATAGCGTGTAGAGATATTAAATCACGAGACATAAGATGTATACGGAGTGATTCACCACGTATTATGGTGCAGAATYGGGGTGAACCTATTTTTTCCTTCAATAAATAAATAAATTTAAATTATGATTTTTGGAATTTTTTGTATTATTAAAGGGTATCCTATAGTAATACTATCTTATGTTTTTCATATGACCGCCTCCATTTTACTGTTGATATTATTTATTATTTAGTTTTTTTTTTTTTTTTAATATTGATAGAAGTGACAAATTTAATATTTAAATGAGTAGTTTCTCAGTTTTTAAAATGTTATTATACTATAACTATAAGGATAATATATATAATTATGCAGTTCATAAAAACGGTTTTACAAACATTTAAATAGACGTATCTAATATTATACATACTGGGACCATTTTTACAAATTTTAAATGATGGATATTAGTTAGTTACCTATACTAAAATGTTTAAATCACAAGTGCCCATTGCCCCCATTATATTTTCTGAACCAATGTCTTGAAACTATTAACCTATTAATACACAAAGTTAAATCATTCAAAAAATACTCATTTGAACTTTAATTCTGCTACGTCATAAAGCACCTAAAAATTTACAGTATTAAAGGAGGGATTCTCATTTAAAGAACTGACATCCACAGAATACTCTACAATGAAGTATAGTACGAAAATAACAAAACATTTTAAAATATGATCTTTATCTTCGTCTTTAAGTTTATAGGTACTTATATGTATTATATAAGAACCAGAGTAACTGGATAGTTGAAAAACATAATGGGACGGGTGCACGATGAAGCTCTCTGTATACAACTGAAATGTGTACGTGTATTATTGTATTATGTATGCGTACCTACAGTTGGGTTGGAAAATATTTGCTCGAAATTTCGCATTTAAACACAAACGCGAATGCACCCGTGTTATATGTACGGAATAGTGACCGTGTGTAATGTGTGTGTACATATATATACATGATATATATGATTTTTATAATATTATATATTTATATTATATATATATTAGCTGGTGATAAATGTAAACGAATCCTCCGCGTGTGCCGCCTATACTAATATTATATACGCATACTTCGTATGTATGCACACTCGCTTTCCACGTCTGAATCCTCTCTGAACATTTCGACTTTTAGCCCTGGAACGTTTGTTTTAAAATCGACCGTTAAAATATAATATGTAATGTGCGTCAACGCGTGTATAGTAGGTAATATAGACAGTTATTATTATCATTTTTTTTTTTTTTTTTTTTTTTTTTTTTTTTTGAGGTAAAGGCTTCAACATCAAAAGGTTATTAGCCTAAAGTTATAACATAAGTGTACAAGATAATATAATATATACAGATATTTACAATTTTACAATTTATGTGCAAGATGGATATGATGAAAATATTTGTAGATAGCTTCCGTGTTTTCTTCACTGAGGGTGAGTTGAAGGGATGATGAAATCTTGAAGATTTTCCGAGCTAGGGAGTATTTTGGGCATCTTGTTACGATGTGTTCAATCGATAAAGTCACGTTGCATATGGTGCATACTGGAGCAGGTTCCTTAGTGATGAGGAATGAGTGGGTGAGGTGGGTGTGGCCTATTCTGGCTCGGGTAACGATGACTTCGTCTCTTCGATTAAGGCTACCGGAAAATTTCCATTTTTTGATGAGAGGCTTGATGATTCTTAATTTATTTGATAGGGGGACGTTGGACCAGTTTTTCTGCCATGTCTCTAATATTTTGAGGTTAATGATATTGAGTGACTCTGAGGATGTGGTTAGGTTATTATCATTATATCATGTATTATGATTCGTTAACGAATAACGAGAATGTTCGTGTGTTTGGGTCCACGTCATCACAACTCCGAACTCGTATTATTATTTTCTTCGTATTTTTATATTATGTTATGCATCATAATATTACACTCAAGTATAATGTGTACATAATTAATAAATACAGTAGTCGCCGTTTACTTAGTCGGTTCACTTTGGGTCCATTAACCGAATAATGAGTCATAAGACGAGAAAAGTTAAAGAATAAAAATATATACTTAATATATGTTAAATATATGCGTAGTAGGAAAACAAATTAATTTGGCTACGTACCTATTTATTGTAAGTAGGTACTCATAAATATTACCAATTATAATTATTCGTGTGTATTTATTTATTTGTTTTAAACGTGTAGTCATTCATAATGGAGAAAAAAGATCATGAAAATTAGTACCTAATTAATAACGACAAAAATGGAAAAATAGTTTTTTCGTTCTGTATTAAATTTAATTAATGTAAAATCAGTAATTTTAAAAACTCTTAAATACTTATATATTGATGTGATAATTCTAGGAAATAGCATTAACTGTTAAAATATTAGTGATAAAATTGGAATAATGAAGATATATGCACTTAAAAGTATACCCATTGACCCCATTAACGATAATGTGATATAATGAATCCATTTATCATTTAATAAGCGGTATGAGTGTTACGACTATACTGCAGGATTCTACTGGTATTTGGTACTACTGGTACTCTAGTAAAAAATGTAGTAAACACATAGTATTAATGTATGTGTCACACGCGTCAAGAACAATGTCATTCACGCCTATCTCAAACGACCGCCGTGTTCAAGTGTAACATTATGTTTAAAAAAACACGAACAGTGCATCATTTGACTTGAGTTTTGCTAGCCATTATGTATAATATATCCTACAGAGTAGGTAAATATTATATTATATGCAAATGCCACCCCGCACCTGACATATTATTGCATTATACCGCGATAATATATATTATATGGGTACCTATACTTATATAAGCTTTAGCACGTGAAAAATCGATATTTTTAGCATAAGTTTTTTTCTGACGAGTGTAACTATATATTTCGTTTGTAAATGTAATTATGGTGAGTGGTCTACATACATCATACATTTAGGTTTGTATTACAACTAGATAGAGCCGACTAAGCATTAACGTCAAAACTGAGTAAATGACCCACTTGTCTTATCAAAAAGCCAGTTTTTATACTATTTAATTAAAACAATTTTAAAAATTGTAACGAGACAAAAAGTAATTTCATTACAAACTAAAGATTGTTACAAAATATATTACATTAAACTCAATTTCATAAATACAATTTTAGCAATTTTAGCTAMGTTTTAGCATTAAATTCTTCTGACTTAGAAATTCTGATAATTCTATAATATGTTACTTTTTTATTGATCTTGAATTTATGAATAATTTCTGCTTTGACATCTGGGCCATTAGCATTAAATTTAATATCATACTATAGAAAAAATAAAAATAAATATTTATGTATAAAAAAAAATAGTACATAAAAATGAATAATTACAGTTTTTAGTTTTAAAATCTTTTAGTAATTGGAGAATTTTTCTTGTCTTGAAAAAATGTATGGTTGTTCACTTCGTTCTCTGGATTTGGACCAAGACGATGTCATAACTTATGTTTAGTTTTTCAATATTATTATTTTGATTAAACTAGAAATATCTAAATATGTAAACAAGATGCTCTTTTATAAGATAATATGTTGGCCATTTCTTCGACTTGTTCGAAGTTATTATTATAGAGAATTTTTCATTTATATTTGTAATGCAGGGTAATAATTCACCAAGCATGATCACCACTAATTTTTCTTTAATTAATAATGATTAATGAATTTATTAAAATTATAAGTTTTGGAATTTTTTAAGTACATTTAAAAGACCTTGTTTTTAATTCTTTGAGATTTTTGTGCTATACCTATACCAAACGAGTGTTAACGCTATTTTTAAGGGCTTAATATAACCAATTTAATTACTCATTCAAATTTTGAATTAAATACAAGTTTCAAAACAATAAATTATCGTATACATWATTTACAATAGAAAAGGAAGGTTCTCAAAACAAAAGTTTGTATCTCCATGAGACACTTAATGAGTTGTACGAAAAATGTAAATAATTTGAAGATATGAACTTTCAGTATATTAATAAATATTACTACATATACTACATTATTGAAGGTTAAAAAAGGGGTGAGTATGCCCGGTGAATCACCCTGTATATATCTGAGTAGAAGTCTCATGCGATTAAACCGTGTGCTGGAAGTTTAACGCGGGTAGCTCGCAGCATGTATCTACATATAGCCCCGAGTAAAAAGAAGTAAAACACAAATTATGAATTAAATTTCATTAGCTGCTGCCGAGTGAACGCCTACGTGTGACCCGGCGACGGTGATTATTAGGCACTCGATGTAAAATATTATATACATTTGCAAATCGATAATCATGTATAAACGCACGTATAGTGCTGCGCGTGTAGCGAAAGATAATTAGGTTATTGTGAATGAGACGTCAAACTTCCGGAGTAAGTATATATATATAATATGGTTGTCAAATGCCTTGGGGTCGTTCAAAGCGTGTAGTTCTGGGTACATACATTACCTATACATATACATACGATCACTCTATGTGGGGTCCTGGCCGTCGGGGTGTATGCTGCAGTATTCGTGATAGAGATGAAAGATGTATATTATGTTATGTTATAATAGATCTCTATGGGCGTACGTTATACGCCCGCACGTTTGTCTATGTTATATTATGTATGTATGTGAACTTGGACCGCGGTATATTTGTGATGGAGTTYTACGCATAGTTTAGTGGAACGTATTTTAATAAAAACAAAGGTTTATAAATTACATATATGTACATAAACAACGGACGAGTCGGGTGTAACTAATAGTTATATTGTAGTCTATTGTCTATATGTACATACATATACTGCATAATATGTAAATTACACAAAGCGTTACGCTTTGCAAAGTCTTCGAACGGGTTGAGACGAGTACGAATGTACGCTGCGTGTGCATAATTAACATTTTTCCAGACAGCAATTTAATTTGTTATTTTCGATTGTTTCAGACGGAACTATCCCAGAACCTTCAACAATTGTCTGAAAAAGCTCGAACCACTACAGAGTTCATTCAGAGGTTAAAGCAAATGTCTGAAAAACTTAATGTAAGTATAACTTCGGTTGCTATATTGATTATTACATATGTATACCTTCATTATAGAGTCCGTTGTCATCATTTTATCCCTCCATATCTCCCGATGTTGAACATTTTCCTTATAATCTTGCACTCTCTGAGTTTTAAGATTCTCTTCTACCATAGGTACTTACGTCTGATCATCGCGTCATCGGACTTTTTTTTTGTAGACATTTTCCTTATCAATAGGTACATTATAATTTATAATACTCCGTCGTAAAATATTGTATTAATTATTATGTATGTATATCTTGCASCGTAATATTTCAATATATTGCAGTATAATTAACTGTGATCGAAAACGACGGGARTGCATATTTTAATTATGCATGACGTGTTATCGTTGTTCGGTTATTTCGTTTTTTGTTCGTGTTTTCTTCGGTATATCATATTTTAATGGAAGTTAATTGAAAAACAAATATAAATACGTGGAATCGAGAACAATACATCATTTTACTGCGCTCGCTGTTGATGTCACAAATAATATTGTTTTATAAAACATTCGACGAGCGTGTGCAATTATTATTATACACATTATGCTAGTATATATTAATCGTATACTGCTGCAAAATATTGTATTTTACACACTGACAAACCGACCAAATATGATATATTTATGCGTTGCAGTATAGTCGTAAAAATAAAAAGTTCTTTCTTATTTTCTGTGTTCGTTCCGAGTATTCAACGGTGGGTTCAATTTAGGTATACTTTTTTTTTTTTTGGGGGAGGGGGGATAAAAATCGATCTTCAACTTCACATAATATAATAAGTCCTCGTCGTACAAATTGTTGTCGTCGTAAAACACGAAAAGTCCAAACTAGACGAACACGCACGTCGCTATAATAACCTGCTGTGATGTATATATATATATATATAATATAAATATATTTACACACACACATATATA